GGAATAAGCCTGGCTTTGCTGTGCCGCTGAACTGTCAGTGTGAGTTGACCCCGGGCAGGACGCAGGAACCCCTACAAAACCACGGATGAAATGCAAAGAATACGTTCATGTCCATTCCTCACCAGCCGAGAGATCCCCAAAGCAGCACCTGGGCAGCGGCACCGCGGAGCTCAGTCCCTGCGAGAGAATGGCCAAACCCGCTCTTTTCCCCTGGGCTTCACACATTGGCCACTGTGTGGTTTTTGCACAGCAAGCCCAAGGCCTGCTTTGGAGCCACTGAAGCAATGGGGTGCTGTTCATCTTGGAGGAGGTGCAGGATGAGCCCTGTGAGCACCTGCCTGAGCTATTGAGTTGTTGAGGTATAGACTCCTTTCTCCTCTGGACTTCAGGGCAAAGAGTCTCCGTGGGTGAAGCCTTTGTACAACTTCCTTCAGTTGAGGTTTTATGTCAGCTTTGCAATCCATAAAGAAGCCAATGAAATGATTTCTCCTGCCAATGTCCTCCAAGACTGCAAGAGAAGGAAAACAAAGTTCTTTCTTTCAACACCTGCTGTCCACCCCCCACCCACCCCTTTCCAAAACACACTCTTTTCCCCCCTAATCCTTCCTGCTTTAAACTCCACGGCAGCAGTATTAGGATGATGGGATAAAGAGCTTAGTTTGGAGCTAGAGGAGGAAATAAACCATAGAGGACTCTCAAGTCTCCTTTCAAGGATTGAGCAATCTGAAAACATGGAAAGGGAATATACTTCCTGTATCCTGAGCTTGTCAGCCACCTTCTGCTGTTTCTTTGTCAGACAGGTGAATGTGGGAGACTCCTGCAGCTCCTCTGTGACTTATCTTCTTAGCTTTAATGTCTTTAATCACTATTGCCTTTTTTTTTTTACATTTCAAGATTTTTTCCTATCCTTAATTTCTTGAGCTTTTTTTGCATACAATTTGAGAAAGAACACCAGGCAGCTGGTCAAAGGCAGCTGTCTGCAGTAGTGACCAATCAAGTTAATTTTCAGTGACCTGACATGGCTTATAATATACAGCAAAATATATAGCATACCAGTTTTTTTCAATTCCATGTTGTTTATTGTAAAAAAATGTTTGGCAAGAACAATGAATTAAGAATATTAAATAAGGACAATGAGTAAAGACATAAAATAAGAACAGGAAATAAGAAATAGTAATTAAGAACGTTAATAAAGAATATCAGTGAAGAACTAAGAACATGAATTAAACTGGCTTGTCCTCCTCCTTCACTTTTTTCATTGGAGGTTCCATTCCAGCTGGAGACCTCTGCCCAGGACAGTGTCTTCTGTATGGGGGAAAACCAAAAAAGAAAGGAAATTAGTTCAAAGCAGTCCCTCTCCCCACTTGTTTTCCTCCCAGATTTGCTTTGGGTGTTTTCTTTCCTCTCCATATGCTCATGTCAAAGCATCTCTCAGCTGCTGCCATAACGCTGCTGCCCATGGAAGAACTTGGTAACATGGAAAAGTTTCTGCTGCCAAGGCAGAACAGACCCAGGAGGGTCTGTGTCCCTCCACTCTCCTGTGTCCCATGAACTGCAAGAGCAGTGGAGGGATTGAAGGGGGGGCACTGGCCTCTGCTCAGTGGGAATGTGCAGAGGTGTCGCTGCTCCGCAGCCACTCGCAGCGCGGATCCTTTGCGCTGCAGGAAGATGCCAAAAGAGCGAGTCTGAATGGCTGCAGTTCAATGTCAGGAAAATTAATAGAAGGCTGCACTGTTTAGAATGAAGTGCAGAGTGTAGGGAAAAGTGTGAGACTGAGGTTTTACATACTGCCTTGGATGTTCCCCTCACTGGCCCATTTTGGTTCCTAGCAGAAGAAATAGAGGAGATCAGAACTTAAAATGAAGCGCTTGGACCCAGCATAAAGCAGTGAAAACAGACAATAAAACCTGAACATCATTATGTTCTGATAGTTCAGTGAATGTGGAAATTTATTTGTGTACATAGGCTGTTTTCTCTTGGTACATTCAGTGCAACTAAAACCAGCCCCCCAAACCCCATTTCTACTGTGTCACCAATTACACGGGACTGTAGCTTCTAAGCCAGAACAGTGACAGTCTTGACACTTGGAAGTGCAGGTTTACTTCCATGAAAAACAATCCCTGCTCTGACAAAGCAATGCCAGAACTGTCAGCAGCTCTGTCTCTGAACTTTGTTTCTCTGCGGGAGCCCAGGCCCCATGTCCAGATCTCTGCCATCCTTAGCCACGACAGGCCCAAGGTGCCCAGTGTGTTACAGATGCTACAGTGACTAAAAACAGAAGTAGAAAGGCCACCTGGAAGCAGTTCCTAGGGACTGGTGTGATTTAGGAGCCCTGTGGGGGAAAAGAAAATAAAATCTTGATTGGCAGAATTTGCTTTTAGGTCATCTTGGAAATGCGTCAGTTTATTTGGAGGTATTTATTACATTTACAAACTTGCTTAAGAATACCTGCCAGATACCCCATACCCCCCAAACACACCTCCCCCAGTGCAAGAAATAGTCAAACACTAACAACCAGACTCTTCTGAGATGGGAACACATTAGAAGTTTATTTCTAATAACATAGAGTTACTACAGTGTGTACATGTCGTTACTAGAAAGGCAATAAAAGCAAACACGTACAATCTGGAATCTCTCCATGCAAAGGAAACAGGATCTGCAACTTGGTTTTCAGCAAAATCACCCCAAGAACAAACCCAACAGGATCATCTTAGAAGTCACCATTGCTGGAGTTTGAACCCCATGTCCCCACAAACCTAAAAATTTAAGTTCACTTTGGAACAGATACATTAAAATCTACCCCAGGACAACAAAACTTTGACAAGATACAGTCTGAGTGCCTCTGTAAACCCATATCCATAAAAAAAGCTCATACTCTGACATCCCCCACAGGGAATCCAGTGCTTCATGGGTACTCATGTAGCTTGAGCCGTTCCTGGGGATCTGGGCGTCATCAGTGTATTCTGAGAACGTGTTGGATCCTCTTGTCACCTTTTGTCACCATGTGCTGTGTCAGACACCTGCCATTGATGGGTCACTATCTGGGTGTTCAGAAACAGGAGAGGAATATAAGTGAACATTTTTAAGCTGGATGGAAACAGCAACTTGAATTTATTAAACATTTTGGCACTTGCTAGGGCAGCTCTGACAGCATCCTTTGCCTTTTGGTGATACTGGGTAAGCACATGAATCTTCAGTCTCTTACTCATTTTTCACCTGCAGACACCTAAGTGTGTTGCTTCCTGCATCAGCTCTTGTCCCTGTAAAACCAACAGCCTGTCTCTGAGTCTTTTGCTTTGTAGTCAATTATATTATTTATTTCATAGTTTAGTTCACGTACATTTCCCTCTTTCTCTCCCTCCCTGTTTTGGAGAGCTGAGTGATCTGATAACTTGAAGATGCACCAGGGGTGTATTCCTCTACTCAAGAATACAGTGTAGGAGAGAGGCAGAGTCGTCTCCTCGGGGCACACGTACAAACACCTTGTCCCTGACGGTCCCAGCCGTGTTTGGCAGCGGTGCTGCCGTCACCCTGGGCTGGCTCAGTGCCACAGTCGAAAGGGAAAAGACGATGCGACAGCCAGGGGGTTCGAACAGAGTGGTAGCTTGAAGCTATCGTAACTTTATTAAGCTATGCCAGCCCTATTTATAGGGTGGCAGGGGAAGGTTCCAGAAACTGGGGAGGAGCGTGGGACAGACAGGAATATAGACCAATCAGAAGGGAAAGGAGGGAATAAGGAAAGAGTGGGAGCCAATAGGGGAAACATCTGCAATGCAGCAGATTATAACAAATCAGAAAATAGGTAATAAACATGAGGGGAAAACTGTGAAAACATTTGACATAAACTGGGGTACAATACATTTATAACTTTTGTTAACAATTCTGTTCAGTGCTAGTCTGTAAAATAGTCTCAATCTTCATAACTGGACACTGAATGCTTAGAATCCACGTCCTCCTCTGTCGCCACTTCAGCTATGGTCTCTTGCAGCTGCCTTCTCCACCTTGCAAACTTCTCCTTTTCCTCCTCCGTGCTCCCCACAGCTCAGAGCTTCCAGCTCAGACTCAGTGCAAGGGTCGCCTGCACGTTTCTTGCTGGGTTCTGCTCACACCTTTGGCTGGTGTGAGCTCCATGTGGCTGCCTGGAGTATGACCTCATGCCTTACCTGGTTCCCTGGTGACCCAGGTGCCCGGGCTCCGCTTTGGAACCCCACTGTTGCCCAAGGAACTCGGCATTTGGGTGCTAGTTCTGGGGTCATGGGGTGGTGGTGGGTGGCCCTGATGCTGGTGCTGGTCCCCTGGCGCCCTAGAAATGCTGGCTTGTGGCTGTGGGTGGCCCTGGTGCTCTGCCTCCCTGGGGTGCACTCCTGCCTGCTCTGCTTTGGGCCCCCCAGAGTGCGGGAACAGCTCTGCCGTGAGATTACTGGGGCACCTGCCGAGAAGATTGACAATAAAATATGCCAAGAGATCCTTGTTGAGGCTGCTGAACCACTTGCCTCTGTCACTGTGGGTATGTCATGGGACCCCAGGGACCCCAAACCCAAAAGGGATCCTGCCCAAGAACCTCCATCCTGACTGGCCCTTCTTTTCCGTGGGTCCTCTATCCCAAGGGGGACCCCTGCCCTGAACAGCACCCTACAGTCCTCTGGGATTCCCCACTTCAACCAGGGCCCTCACACTGACACTGACCAGGATCCAAGGAAGTTGTGGACCCCAGGGACCCACCCCAGACAAGCATCCTTGGGACTCATAACCATGCCAAGGCCTCCCCAGTCCTGATCTGGACCCCAGGGACCTTTGGGAACCCCAGCCCTGCCCGAGACCCTGAGAATCACCCAACCTTGACCGGGGGCACACTGGGGACCCCTTGGCCCTACCTAGGACCTTAGGAGTCCCCAGGGATACCTGACCCTTCCCAGTATCCCTAAACCCTGGTCAGAACTCCAGGAATGCCCAGAAACCCTCCAGACCTTACTGAAACTCCAACTCTGACCCTGTATACTGATTCCAGTGTCCTTGTACTGGTTCCAGGGGCGACGCAGCATGAGGAACTTCAGTACATCGTTGCGAATGCTCTGTATTATGTAGTGAAGCAAAAGGACAAGAGTGAGCAGGGGACATGGGACATAGGGCATGGGATGTGGAGGCCTTGAAGGGGCATGAGGTGGAGGTGAAATATGGAGGTCTGGAGGCAGTAAAGGGATAATTGGGGAATCCTGAGGTTATATGGGCTTCAAAGTATACAGCTTCTTGGGGGTTTGAGGGGGTATTTGAGAATAGATGGGACTCCAGGATGGATATATGGGGTTGAGGTGAGTTGTACAGGGAATCTGTGGTGTCTGGGAAGGGTTTATGGGGATGCTGGGGAGGATATATTGTCTCATCTAGACGTCTGGGTCACCCCAGAGCCCTTTCACGAGGCCCTGCAGGAAGCTGTGGACGCAATCTGGGTGAAGCTGAGCCAGATGACGAAAGGTATGGGGCCAGTGGGGATCCCCACCCTGGGAACCCCAGTCCTGGAGAAATTCCCAGGGACTTCATCTGGGCTAGACAAGGGCTGAGCCCTGACAGCTCATCATAAGGATGTGAGTCCCCAGTGTTCCCCAGTCTAACGCTGCTTTCTCCCCACCAGTTCCAGCCTGCGTCCCACCCTGTGGTGAGTGCCTGTCCCCCTGTCTTGCCCTTCCTTGTCCCCAAGTACATCTCCCACTCCCCTGGGACTACCAAGTCTCTCTTTCCCAGGATTCCAGCCAGATGCCCGTGTTTTCCAGTGTGCTACTTGCCACTTTGCAGACTGCGAGTTTCCCCTGGACTGCCCAGGTATGGGACCATGCCAGGTTGTTGCATTAAGAGTAAGGAAATCTCCCCCAACTTACCCCCTTTCTTAGGTTATTTTTATACTATTTTTAATATTTTGGTGGAGTTTGAGTGACTCCAGTCATGCCTTTGGTACTGACTGGGGGCAGATGGTATCGCTTTGCTTTTAAAGGTCCAGGCTAGAAAGATGCAGAGCGTGCACTCAGCGAGGAGTAGTTGTACATTGAGGGTGGGTAGCTGTTGAGATGGAGGTGTGTTTGGTATTATAATGAGATAATAATGAGCAAAGTACCTCCAAAGCACAGGATTTCACCACAAAATTAAGTAATTGCTAGCTCAGCAACTGATGTTCTAAATGGAACAGGATATTACCTCTTGTTTGGCAGATGCCATGTGTTGTATCAGCTCCACTGAGTTCCCATACCTGCTGTGATCTCAACATGCCAACTGCGTGTAAAGTGATCCTTAAATAACAACTACATTCTGCCCTGGAACTCTACAACTTTCTTTAGGATGTGGATGTAACTTTAGTCTCAATAATTTTCCCCTAGTAATTCTTCCACACAGACCCAGGCACCCAGCCTGGGCTCACCTCCCCCCTGGAGCTGGGTGCCCCCAGGGCTCTGGAGACACCCCGCATTTCTCACCTGTGCTCCCACCCCGAGCGCACCTGCCAAGGTGTTCAGCTGCCCATCCCTGCAGCCAGCACAGGAGCACCCTCACCTCTGTCAGGGCACACCCAGATGTGAGCTCACGTGCCTGGCAATGCTCCCAGTGCAGGACCTACAGACCTACCCGGATAAGCCCATTGTGCTGCACTGTGATGTGCCCTTCTCCTTCCCCGGCAGCCAACCTGTCGCCTGGATGTTTGCCCCAAATGTGAGTTGCACGTGAGCGTGGAAGGGTGTGAGTAGACATTCTGGGGAGGGCTGGGCACACACACACTCAGCTGTTTGCTTGGTGTGAGGTCTCTCACGGGTACTGCTGCCACCATGTGCTGGAAGTAGCAGCTGTGAAAGCACACACAGGGGGCAGGTCACTCGTGTGTTTGCAGGTCCATGTGTGCACATGTAGAGCCATAAAATTACAGGATGGTTTGGGTTGGAAGGGACCTTAAAGCTCATCTCATTCCACCCCCTGCAATGGGTAGGGACACCTTCCTCTAGACCAGGTTGCTCCAAGCCCCATCCCACCTGGTCTAACTGAACAGGTTATGTTTCTTTAAAAAGGAGCCTATGCATCAGTGAGGGAAAATGTTAAGAGGTGATTTTAGATAATGGGTGACGGGTAAGCTCTGGGTGATGTCCAGGTGTTAGAAAAACAAATTAAAAATTTAGGGCTTTTGGTGCACTTTAGTGTTCTCAGACCTGGGGGGGGGGAAGTTAACAAACCCTGGAAGAGAAATTTACTGTTGAGAACTGAACACCAGGATTGCAGACTTTATAAACCACAAAGACATGTTACATAAACCAGAAATGCCCTATCTGGGAAAAAGATAATTAAAAGACTGAAAATTAGACTAATTAACATGAAAAACAAGAAATCCATAACCAATAGAATAATAATTCATGAAGAGAAGTATATAACATGTAAGCCAATGAACACTAATTCTTCTGTTTGCTAAAATGTATAAATAGTTAAAAGTTTTCATGACTGATGTAAATGTGAAGCGATGCCCTTGTACCTCAGCACTGAATAATGTCGGCTTTCTAACTGATTAGAGAGTTTATCTCCTGGGTTTTGGTGACACTGGGCTTGAACACTTCCAGGAATAGGGCAGCCACAGCTCCTCTGGACAACCTGCACCAGGGCCTCACCACCCCCACAGGGAAGAATTCCTTCCCTCATGTGCAGGAAATGACTTTTGTGTCCACTGTGGTTGTGCATCCCTGTGTGCACATGGGGCACAAGGAGAGTGTGTGGGACAGGAGGTGTGTCCACGTACACTAGCATAAGAAGCATGAAGGGGATATGTCAAGCACATGCAGGACATGGGTACCTTTGTCTGCACACGTGTGCTGTCCCGTGTGCCGGGTGGGCTGTGCTGACGGATCCCCCCCACGCCCCAGCTGCGCACGCAGGACATGTCGCTGTTCGAGGAGCTGAAGGGGAATCCAGAGAACCCCTCCAGCCTGACCGTGGAGGAGCCCGTTCCAGGAACTGTTGCCTGTCGCCTGGGGGAAGTTTCCAAGCCCTTTGTCCGAAAGTTCTTCTACCTCAACGGTGAGCCCAGACACCTGAGTGCCCTGGGGGCAGGGAGCAGAGCGGGGGGGGAGCTGAACCCCAGACACTCCGGTCGGTGGGATGGGGGTGCTTGGGGGTGTGGGCAGGGTGCCAGGACGTATCAGTTCATGGTGAACAGGTGAACTGGAGCAGGTATTCCCTGATCCCTGGCTCCTCTGGGAGCAGTGGGGCATGTGGGTTGGAGCGGGGACCCCCAGACAGTGAGATCTGTGGCTGGGGCAGGTGCTGCAGGGCCCTGTGACCTGAGGTGCCGGTGTCCCCACAGTGTCAGAGAGGAGCGTGGAGGAAGAGAAAGGGCTCCAGGCTATGTTCAGTACTGTGCTGCCCTGGGTCCCCACCGAGACCCCCCGGGCCCCCATACCAACAATGGGGCTGGCACTGGGAGTTGCCTCCATGGCACTTGTGCTGCTGGTGGTGTGAGTATTGCTGACCTGGTAATCTGTACTCTCAAAGTCCCCATGGCTTCTGGGGTCCCTCACAGAGCAGCAAGGGACTCCCAAACCCCACTGGATTCTCAGTCGCTTGGGATTCCCTCCAAGTGGGAGGGGATCCAGGTGTCCAAGGGTGGGCATAGACTGCCAGGACTCCTAAACTCACAGGGCCCTCCATGTCCCCTGGGACTCCCATTTTTCTCTGGCCCATTCCAGGATCTCCCCCTTGCACCCAGGATCATTCCAGGCTGCCTTGCTTCCCACAGATTCCCTAATTGCCCCTGAAAACCTGCAACTTTCCCATGTTTTCCCTAGAACCCCCACTGTCCCTTTGGGTGCCCCAGTTACAGTCAATTGTCCCAGTTGCCCTCAGGGTCCCATTCCTTTACCCTCAGAACCATCAGCTGCTCCAAGGGCCCCCCAGTTGCCCCTTGAGCCCCCCAGATGCCCCATGTGTACCCACTGTCATCCCCACATCCCCTGATGAAAATATAGGGTGTCCTCCCTGCTTCCCCTCTTTCTTCATCCCTCCTTCTGTCTCCCAGGGCCGTGTGGCAATGTGCCCGCCGGAAATCCCGTAGACGTGAACAACAGGGCACCCCAGAGGATTCCCGATCCCTGGATTCACCCTTGGGACCTTAACACATGGATTCATCCCCAAGGACCGACATTTCTGCATTTGGTTTCTTTGTGCTGGTTGTGCAAATAGCAACAGTCTAGAAACAGAAATATAGAGTTCTGAAAATCTGGATTATGCCGGTGATAGAAATCTGGGGTTCTTTGACTTGCAGACAGAAAAACTGGGTACTGGGCAGCGTTTTCCTTTTCATGGGTGGACATTCCAGCTGCAGTTGGAGCTGCAGAGCTATCAGTGCTTGTGATGGTGATGGTGGAGGAGCCTGAGCTGTGGCCCCCAGACTGCAGCCCAGCCTGTCCTGCTGTGTCCTGACCCCAGCAAGGACCTGCTCCTCCTGCAGGTGTCCTCCATTTCCCTCTGTGTGCACCCAGATCTCCTCTGTTTCCCTCATCAAATACTCAGATCTTCTCTGTTCTTTTCAGTGTCTGCTTGGTGCTGACATCTCCCCTCTGGGCACGCTCACATCCCTCTTTTTCATGACAAGTACCCTCAGATTCCATCCATTACCCTCCATTGGTGATCAAATCTCACTGTCCATTCTGTGGGTGCTCAGTTCCTATGGGTACCATGATGATGTCCCTCCCAGCCCTTCTGTGGACCCTTGTTTCCCTCCACTTTCCCTCCATGCACACGTAGGTCCCCTCTGTTCCACTCACGCTCAGATTCCTGTTGCTTGCCCTCCATCCACCTGATTTCATTCCAGTCCTGGGCAGACACTTGCTTTCCTCTGTAGCCATCATCTTGCATGACCAGTCCCCCAAACCCAGTGCCCAGAGGCCACAGCTGTCTCATCTGCCTTACAGAAATCTGTCATCAGGGCCATTCAGCTGCCTTCTTGCAGGTCAGGACTGTGGCCCTCTGGGGAGTTGAGACTTCCTCTGCTTCCCTTAGATGGAAACCCTTCTGCCTGTGTCCTGTGCTCCAGAATGCACCAGCTGCTCCAAACACTGTCACACAACTCCCTGGAAGTGTTGGGGCCACACCCAGAGCCAGGCTGGGCTTGACAGGAGCAGATTAAACAAGAGCCCCTTGACCTGGCAGCGCCTGCTGCAGTGGTGGGAGGCAGGGACAGCCCCGTGTTTGCTCTCCACCTGGTTGGTGACTGTGGCATTCAAGTGTTTGTTCACTGAGCTACACTCTTCAAAGTTTCCAAATATGCTTGTTACCAGGGGAAATTCCATCCAAGTCACTAAGCACTCACAGAAGAGACCATTCCAAGGATTCTTGCTGGCATGGGGATTATTTTCTTTGCAGCTCAGGGACCTGTGCACTCAGAACCACGGGCACCTCCACCTCAGCTGGTATTTTCTGAGGGCACAAAGGAAACCAACCTGATCTCCTCCTCCAGGAGAAAAGGGGGGCGGGACCCACTCAGCCCGCCCACTGCAGGAGGCACTACAAATGCCTCTGTGCAACCGGCTGCTCCAGAGCTCTGTGCTTCAGAGCATTCCCACCTGGAGCCATGGGTGAGTACAGGGCTGGGAAGAGGGGGGGTCCTTGCCAGCAGGGGGGGGGGGCACAGGTAGGGCAGCCCAGCAATAGGGAGAGGCTCCATGCACAGTGATGGGGAGCAGTGGCACCAGTGCCCTCCTTGGAGCACCAGCAGCTTGTCCCCTGCCTTCTGGCTCACCCCAGCCAGGCCCCTGCTCCAGGGGCCAGGAGTGAAACTTGGCTCAAGTTGGTTGTTGAGTGCTTTGTTCCACCCAAAACCACCCCGTGCTTCACTTGCCGGGAGCAGATCAAGGGGGAAAGGCAAGGTTGTCTACCCCTTGGGCAAGCCTTCCAGCTTGCAGGAAGCAGCCTGATGCTGCCCAGCATTCTTGGTGCTCTCCTGCACCTCACAGGGTCGTGTTAACTGCGGTACTGGAGCCATGGGATGTCCAGTCTCTTTGCAGGGAGGGTCCTGTTTCATCTTTTCTCCATCTTGTCCCTTTCTAGCAGCCCAGTGCCTTCTGCTCCTTGCTTCCCTGCTGCTTTTGGCTGCTCCAGGCCTCTCTGTGCATATAGAAACCCTAAACATCTTCAAGAAATCTCCCTCCAATGCTTCGGTGAATGCTCTGAAGAAAACCAGTAGGTAGCATCCCATGGGCATCTGGTGTGGTGTGCTTGTGTACAGCCAGCTCTGGGTGGGAAAAGGCCCTGAACCATCCCTAATCCTGGCCCTGCTCTGGGATGGAGGATGGTGGAGATGTACCTAGTGCAGGCTGCAGTGTGTGTGTATGTGTGTGCACAGTGCAGGCTGGGGGGGGTGGCTGTGTCTGCTTGAAGAGGTCATTTTTCTGCTGTTCCCTCGGTCACAGGCAGGGGCAAGGTCCTCTTCACCTTCCTCCCAGCATGACCCTGTTGTAGTGGCACAATCCCTTTTTCAGGAGACCTAGAGGAGCCCTTTATTGCCCATATTCAGTCTCTTTGCCTCATACCAGCATAGCCTGGTGGGTCTGGGACCTTTCACTGGGGCTTATTCCTGTTGGGGCCCCATATTGAAAAGGAACAGAGGGTCAAGGCCAACCCACTCTCACCTCCAGACCTCTCTAGGCTGGGAGAGCTGATTATCCCCAGGTGCCCTGGCGAGATGTCCCTCTCTCCTGCCCCAGGGTGAGACAAGGTCTTGTCCTGTTGTACCGGCTTTTGTTCAGTCCCCTTCTGTCCTGCTCCAGGTTGGCCCAGGGACTGCAGTGAGGTCCCTGCTGGCAGCTCCAGCGGTGTCTACATCATCCAGCCCACAGGATTGCACCCCATCATGGTGTACTGTGAGATGGGTGGAGATGGGGGCTGGACCGTGATCCAGAGGAACCGTCAGGACACGGATATCACCTGGAACGAGTCCTGGAGCACCTACAAGCACGGCTTTGGGAATGTGCACACCGAGTACTGGCTGGGCACTGAGAACATCCACCAGATCACCAGGCAGAAGGTCTACCAGGTCAGGTTTCTCATCTGGGATGCTTCAAACAACAAGAGGTTTGCAGACTACAACCTGTTCAGCCTGGACGATGAGTCCCAGGGCTACCGGCTGAGGCTGGGAGCACACTCAGGGACAGCAGAGGATGCCATGGATTCAGATAATCCCAGGAAAGTGCACAACAACATGAAGTTCTCCACAAAGGATCGGGACCAGGACACTTACAGAGGGAACTGTGCCTCCCGCTACGGGGGCGGGTGGTGGTACTCGGCGTGTTACTCCGTGCGGCTGAACGTCAAGGGGAGCATCACGTGGGGCAGGCTGTGCAAGGGGAACTGCAAAGCCTCTGCCATCCTCATCAAGCCAGCTCCCTACCACTAGAACTCCTTCCCTCTTCTGTCCCCCCTGGGCACATGGCCAGGCCAGTGCCCTGCTGGGGCCCGTTTGATGACGGGGGCTGGGGGTGAGTAGGGTTGTTCCTCTGTATCAAGAGCGGCTTTGTTTTCCTCTTATCCTGAAAACTAGCAAAGTTCCCTGCTCTGTCTCTGGCCATTCACCTACGATGGGTTTTGGGGGATCGTTATTAGCACACATGTTTATTAACACTGCAGTGTCCAAGCATTTTCCTTCTGGGGACAAAACTGTGCTCAGAAACTTAAAATCCTCCTGGTCCAGCAAGGTCTTATTCTCTTTCTGCTTTGTGGGTATAAATGTTTTCAGTGGAAAATAATCCATCACTAGCTAACCTGACCTACACTGCACTGAGCCCAGGGCAGGCCGTATCTGCACCACAACCCTGCTGCAGTCTGTATCCATCCTGCCAAATAAAATCACTTTCAGATCTGCATAGGTGTCCTTCATTTGTTTGGGAACTCCTTGCAACTGCTCCCAGTTTCCTACCAGGAGCAGACCTGAGGCTCCTGGTGCAGCAGGAAACTATTTTCAAAGGGGAATTTTTTCATAAGACTCAGGCGAGGAATTAAAGACAAAACTTTCACTTAATGAAGAGGGTTGGATTCCAAGGTGGGGATCTTCCAAAAAGGGAATGCAGTAGCACGTGGTCAGTAGCAAGCACTGAGGGTGGGAGGGAAGCATCAGGTCAGTTCAGCCCTGCCAGCCATGACCTGGAGCTCACCAGAGGCCAGGCCAGCATCATCCTGCCTTATTAACCTTGTGAACAGTGGGAGGGAAATGGGAGAGTGAACAGGCAAGAAAGGAAGAACAGCACTGCAAGGCCACACAGCAGCACATGGTCAGTATTTCTGGGCAGGTGTAAGATCCAAGCCTGACGTGGCAGGGATCCCACAGTTTCAAGGTTTTGGATCAGCTTGGGTCTGTATGGGCTTGCTCCAGTGTGGTGATATCTCCATGCACTGGACAGCTCAGCAGTGGACATGGTGCCTGTGATGTGGTCTCCCAGTACTGAGTAGAGGGAGTCTCCCAGTGCTGGGAGATGTCTTGCTGGCTACCCTCTTGCTAACAGAGCCCGGGAATGCAGCTCAGCGTCACTCAGGGTCAGAGTACTGTTTACCAGCAGCCCAAAGCCCTTCTGTCCAGCCTCTCCCCTCACATTAGGTTGTACATCCAGGCTGGAGCACCAATAACTTTTTAAACCAGCAGACATATCTCTCAGTCCAGAAATGTTACTCTCAAGTCAGCTCCAACTGGGAAGCCTTTCTCAACCAGCAGCACCCTCACATACCTCCATCTCCCCATGCAGCAGTGCTGCCTGCTCTCAAGTGCCACCAGGGCAGCCAAGGAATGCTCCTCAGGAACTCCATAGCTCCTCAGGAACACAGCACTGCCCATAGCTCTGCAGGGTGTCCTGGAACTTGGGTCACAGACCTTGCTTGGCTCCAGAGCCCCATGTTGTTCAGCATTCCCAGCCACAAACCTTGCTCAGCTTTTCTCCCAAAGACTGGGGAGAGGAACCATGGGTTCTTTCAAGCCCGAAGTTAAAACTTCCCTCCATTCCAAGGGAGCTCCATAGACACATTCCCCCTTTGCCACAGGGTGGGACTGACTGACACACATCGCTCACACCCTCAGGGGAGCCCACTGCCCTCTGCACACTCCAAGCTGTGGTGGTTTCTTCCCTTTCCCAGCACAGAGCAACCACCCAGCCATGGACAGTGGCAAACTGTGAGTGAGGGGTTTGCAAGGTATGGGCTTTGCTGGTCCTGTTGACTAATTGTAGCCTTACAGCCACAGTCCAGTGCTCAATGACTGGAACAAATAAATTGGAAGGAATATTGCCTAACACAGTTTAATTTCCCCCAGGTCTGCCTCCCTGAAGGCTGGACAGAGAGATCCCCCCACACCTGTGTGCAGGTAGACACGAGGCAGCACAGTCTGGCTCCAGGGTTTATTGCAGCTGATTCCTCCCACCGTGGGTAGCAGAGCTGTAGGGGGAGTGAGGCCCGGGGAGGGAGCGGGGCCTGAGCAAAGCGGGGTCCACCGACTGCGGGGGCAGGGAACTGGCACCGTGTCCCCCTCCCCAGGACGGGGGCCGGCGCACCCACCCCAAACCAGTGCCTGTGCCCCAGTGCCAGCCAGCACCGCAACACTGGGCGGAGCTGCCCGTGTGCCCAGGGTTCCAGGCCATGGCTCCTGGGCCCCAGAGCTGCTGTGTTTCAGCTGGTGAGGGTGCAGGAGCTGCGAGCAGAGCAGGACGTGCACTGGGACTTGCAGGGGACAGTGGGCAGGCATGGGAACGGGGCACTGAGTTGGGGATGGTGGCACCCCCCCACTGCCGGGGTTCTGGGCACTGCAGCAGGGTCAGCACACGTCTGTGGGTTTGACCAGGATGAGGGAGGATGCGCAGTCACCGCTGTCGCAGAATCCTGGCCAAACGATGTAGTTTTTGGCATTGAGCAGGACGTTCTGGCACCTGTTGTACCACCACCCGCCGTAGCTCTTGGCGCAGTTCCCACTGTACTGGTCCTGGTCCTTGTCGACCGTGCTGAACTTCATGTTGTCGTGAATGCCCCCCTTCTTGGGGTGGTAGAGGGTCAGGTAGTCGTCCCCATCGCCAGAATGCCGGCCCAGCCTCAGTGGGTACCCGCTGTCCTCGCTCTCCACCCTGAAGATGTCGTACTCGGCGAAGTGGGTGGTGTTGGTTTTGTCCCGCACGACAAAGCGCACCTTGTAGGTGCCCTGCTGGGTCAGCAGGTGCAGGTACTCGGTGCCCAGCCAGTAATCGGCGTGCACGTTCCCAAAGCCGTACTTGTAGGTGGTCCAGGATTGCTTCCAGTTGAGCTCAGTGTCATGAGAGTTTCTCTGGACAACAGTCCAGCCCTTGCCTTCGGTGTCCATGTCGCACCAGACCACGCGCGGGGGGGACCGAGCCGGCTGGATGACGTACACCCCGCTGGGGCTGTTCTTGCGGAGGCGGCTGCAGTCTGGGGGGAACCCTGAGGCTGCGGCAGCAAACACGGGTTGAGGTGGGAGAGAGAAGGATCATGAGTCTGTCAGGGCAACGAGGTGCTCCTGTAGGGCAGTGAGAACTCAGGACAAAAAGGGGTAGTTCTGCCTGTGGCTTTTTCATTGGCTCATCCTTGGGGAACCCAGAAAGTCTCTCTAAGCCAGTGACCTCTGTAAGAGCCCTGGAATCTATTTCTCATGGTTTGCTGTTTCATTTGGAGCCTTCATTGGACATCATTGGCATCTGGCCAAGGAAAGAAGGAGAAAAAATCTTCCAGATGCCAGTGATGTCCTTCAAGTATATCTGGCCCACACACAACATCCTTGAAATATTGAGACGCAGCTCTTGCAAGGACCAGAAGTGTCCAAAATGCTCCACTGGATGGCGATATGTAATGCGAATTTATGTTATCCCTGGGGGTCATGGTATTGAAAAAGAAGGCTTAGTTCTGCCGTGGTCTCATAGGGATCTCTTCTCCCAGCTTGTTACAGTTCATCTAATCTGTCATGGCTTACTGGACAAACTACTTTACTATCTAATTTGTTTTTCTTGGTTTGTGTCTGATAGGAGACAATTTGCCATGGGTAATTCCAATTCAATCCCTGAAAATCTGTTTTACTCAGACACTCGGGTCTTGCAGGAACTGTAACCCTCCCTTGCAGGGAGTAAGGGAATGCTCCTCATCCAAGAAGAGCAAAACAAAAAAACAAATAGCTGGGAGGATCTCTCCTAGAACTGAGGTTCACAGTCATGGCAGAGCAATCCTGCCAAGGTGTTTGGGCAGGAACCTGTTGGTTTCAGCACAGAGCCACCAAAGGGGTGAAGGTGGCTTGGCAGGAGTCAGGCTGTACAAGCCATGGCCCCGAGGGTTGTGTGTGTGAGGGGTTCCTGTGCTGTGCATCCCCCTGGGTGTTTGCTGGCCTTCCCTAGCACATTGCAGACCCAAGAGCTGAGCCAGGGAGACCCCGTCCTGCTCTGTCCCTCGGTGCCCAGCCCGCATCCCCCACTGACCCCTACTCACCACTCCGGGGGCTGGCAGTGGGTACGGCTGGGCCGGCATTGGCACAGAGGAGAAGCATCGCCACCACGGTGGGCAGGAGGACAAGGTCCCGGTGGAGCTGGTGTGTCCCAGCCTGGAGCCCTGGGGAGGAAAGTGCCCATCACCGCCAGGATCCCTGGGCAGCCCCCGGGATGCTCAGAGCAGGGAAGGCAGAGCCAGGGCTCAGTCAGGAGCAAGAGGCTCCCAGGGTGGTGGGAACTGCAGCTCCAGGGCAGGCTCTGCCCTGCAGGGTTGAAGGAAGGTGGGAAATGGCTCTGTCACCTCCTGATCAGCCCCTTTCCTACACCACATGGCAACCTGCAATTTGTTCTCGGAACCTACGGCCCAAGAGAGGGCAATGACACAGGTGGATCAGTAGCTTGCCAGGTGGGGAGGAATCACAAGAAACAGCTCTTTTTGGAGTAATCATGCTTATTTCTTTTATTTAAGCCCCTCCAGCCAAACCACAGATAGAAGGAAACTAAGCCAAAGGATGGGTCCTAACTGCCCAGGTACCAGCTCCCAAGAAGACAGGAGAAGTCTCCTGGGCCTAAACCCAAACCCTCTGTGCTGACCACCAGCACCCCTCGACATCCTGCACTCTCTCGGCTCCTGGGGGAGATGCCACCATGCCTGGGGCAGGATCCCTGTGCAGCCACACGTGCCACATGCATTGGTTGGGAAGGGAAAGGACCAAGGTGAAACCTAGGTCTCCACCTTAACCTCCATGGGAACACATGGCACAGGTACCCCATGGCAGGCACAGGCTGGCACCAAGCATGTGTGTTGTTTGGTGCTTTGGTCTGGCATCCCTCCTGCTCCCAGCGTGCTGGTGTCCTGCTCATCATCTCTGTGCCTTTGCATACTCACCCCGTCAGGTCTCGTTTGAGCCCAGCACCACACAGGAGTGAGGTGTCCCTGGGCAGGTCACTCACCCATCACGACAGCACGGCTGCGCAGAGAGCAGGAACCCGGCGGTGCACCCTCCCATGCCGAGCTGTCCACGCCGACTTTATAGGCCCTGCACACACCCACGTGTGTTCACACTCATCAGCTGTAGAGGCACTTGCAGATTGTGACTCGAGCAGTTTCCAGATCCCATGACAGCAGAGCTGAGGGGAGGGGAGCTGCCCTTCCAGCCAGAGAGGTACAGAATAGCCCCCTGCATGCTGAGGGATTTCAGTTATTGACTGTCCCTACACAAACACTACATGTGAATTGCCCTCCTGGAGCAAATTCTGGAGAGCCGGGATCAAAGTGAAGTGGAGAGACCCAGCTGTTTGAGGACATACACACAGAAACCAGCAAAGGAGGAGAGGTCTCCTGTGTGCCCAGTCCCAAAGGTGACTTTGGAAAGGTGGGGACAGGTCCTCGAGAGAGGTGCCAGCTTGCTAAGTCTCTGCTGGCAGGTTTCAGGATCAGCACTGGGCTGGAGCCGCTGTCCAGCAGCCAGAGCCATTGTAGACACAGTGTTCCCTGGCACCCCAGTCTGTGTGCTCTGAGCAAGAGCTCCACGTAACAAACAGGTGCCTGTGGGTCCCTTTGCCACTCTCCTTCCCAGTCCCTATCTATGGCCTGGTGAGACCCTGCAGATCCACCCCCAGCCCCAGAAACGTCAACCTGGAGTTGTGCTGTCTATGGTAGCAAAATGCTCTCAGGACAGACACTTTGGGGGGGCTGTTGTTCATACCAGGAGGTTCAAGCAGCTCCATCACCTTGTCAAATTTAAGAGGATAAAGATGTGCCCCTTCTACTTTCTTCTCCTGTGTTGTTTCTGACCAGATGTCTTCTTCTGGCACAGCTCCACACTCACTGTTCACAGCAAGTTGAGCTCAAGATGAAACTCCCACCAAAATTTCTGTACTGTGGGAGCCCACATCAAGCAGTGCCACTTGCAGGTCTTGATGGACAGCAGCATCCAGACCTCTCCAAGGTAAGACATCCCTGGTAAGGAATTCCTGGATGGACAGGACAAGAGAAAGTGGCTTCAAGTTGCATCAAGGGAGGTTTAGATTGGATATTAGGAAAATTTCTTCATGGAGAGGGTTGTCAAGCATCGGAACAAGTTGCCCAGAGCAGTGGTGGAGTCACCACCCCTGGAAGCATTCAAAAAACGTGTGGATGTGGCATTTGAGGACATGGCTTAGTGGTGAATATGGTGCTGCTGGGTTGATATTTGGACTTAATGATCTTAGAGGTCTTTTCCACCTTAACAATTCTGTGATCCTGTGATCAACTTCCATCTGAACCCTTCGATGTCACCCCTGCTTGATTGATGGGAGGCTGGGAGTCCTTGTCCACAGTCTCATTTAGTTTGGGAGAATGATAAAATCTTATAGAGTTTATGGAGGGAGAAGGGCCCAAGCTGCTCAGGGAAGAACCCTTTCTGGGGGACAGGGGAAGTGGGGGACTTAAGGGCTCCCATGGGCTTCCCCAAAGCTAATACAGCACCTCGGGGTGCCTGTGCCAGAGCTCACAGGCCAGCTGCTGCAGGGCAGCCACCTCTGGGATCACAGCTGGCAGCAGGAACACAGGCCCCACAGGAGTTGGACTCAGTGATCCTGATGAGTCCCTTCCAACACAGCATATTCTATGATTCTATGGAGAGGAAGTCAAAGCAGTGGCCAAAGCAGCAATGAATGGCTTGAATGGGCTGTTTGGGGTCACACCTGGGTCAGTTGTAATGTCAAGGAATGGAGGTCCCACAACTTCTCTTTGGGTTTTTTCAGTTTTTGAATACCCTTGGGCTGATTTTATATATATATATATATATATATATATATATATATAAAATTTCCTCCTGTCCCTTATGTCTGTTGACTCTCATCCTCCCCTGTGCACCTCCACGGAGAGTCATAGATGGGTGGTAGATTAATTTAGGTTGGAAGGGACTTCTGGAAGTCATCGAGTCCAGTCCCTGCTCAATCAGGTCCTTGTCCAGTCAAGTCTTGAACACCTCTAAGGACAGAAATCTCACAGCCTCTCTCTGGCCACCTGTTCCAATATTTGACCAACTTCATGTTAAAGAAAGTGTCTATTTCTAAATGGACTTTCCATGTTCTGACTTAGATCCATTGCTTCTTATCTCACCACTGTGGACCTCCTTGAACAGCCCAGCTCCCTGTTCTCTGTGTCCTCCCATGAGATGATTGCCATCAGCAATAGGACCTCTCCAGTGCCTGCTCTTCTCCAGGTGGAACAAGCCCAGTTCTCTCCAATTCTGAAACATCCTGAACTCCATGCTTCCAGCCAGTCTGGTGGCCTCCAGGCTGGTGGGTCCAGTCTGTTTCTTGCAATGAGGGGTCCAAAATAAGACACAGTGCTCTGAGGAGCCTGACTCCACCTGCTCCTCACCCTCCTGCCCAGGTAGCTGTAGGCATCCACAAGATCCCACCTCAGCCTTCCCTTCTCCGGGCTGGACAAGCCCGTCTTTCTCAGCCTCTCCACGTGTGCTCCTGCCTCAACTGTCCTGGGGCTCTTAGTTGGATCCTTCTGGAGCTGAGGCCACTGCTCTGCAGGAGGGACTCTCACACAGGACACAGCATTCCACCTGCTGTCTCACCCATGGAAAGGAATAATCCCTTCCCTCACCCTCCTGGGTGCATTTTTCCAGATGCAGCCTGGGATGAAGCCACAAACAGATCTGTGGTTCTTTCAGTACTAAACATTGATCAAGGCCAGGTTGGATGGGGCTTGGAGCAACCTGATCTAGTGGAAGGTGCCCCTGCCCATGGCAGAGGAGTGGAATGAGATGGTATTTAAGGTCTCTTCCAACCCAAACCATTCCAGGATTCTGTGATTTTATGAAACTTACACTGAACAGGAGCTGGGCCCCAGGATATAGCTGGGAGTTTGGAGAAATCCCCTCTGTGGCCTTTCTCCTGCCTGCTTTGCACACCCTAATCCCAACATAGGCCTCCTGGAAAAGGTGCCTGGGGGCTGGCTGTTGTTGGAGAAGCCCTGCTGAGGGTCTCTGCCTGGCCTTGCTTGTACCTGCTGTTGGGGAGCAGCACAGCAGGGCAGCCACAGGAGTGTCCATGGCCGGGTGGCCACACTGCGGGGACACAGCCTGTGACAAAATTCCAGCCCACTCTGCCGCAGGCTCTGGCTGTCCAGCCCAAGTTGGATGCTGGGGCATAGGAATCTTCATAACTCAGAACAGCATGGGCATCAACCCCTGGGGAAAAAAGGAGGTCTGGCGTTTTCTGTGAGACATCCACAGTGTGGGCACTCCTAGAGCAGAGAGGGGCTTGAAGTGAGACCATTTTACATCAGCGTCACGTCACCATGCCCAGAAGTCCAACTCGTGATCGTGCCGGGGGACCACGGTGTGAGTTGTGCAAGGGGCAGCACAGTGGGGGGCAGGAGGCAGCTGGAGTGGCACTTTCTGAAGTTCGGGGCACAGTTTCCCAGGAACACTGGAGTACCTCTTCCCTGAAGGGTCTGTGGGGTCCCCAGGGGCTGTTGAGCTCAGTGCCGGCTCTGGAGAGAGCGATTTACGTCTGATGTTTGATTTCCATCCAGAAGGGGAATGTCATCCAAGTATTTACTTAGCAGTTAAACTGTGTGGAGGTGCCCCAAGAATGTCGTTCCCTGGGGAAACCCTGCCAAGGCAGGGGGGCAGCAGGGTGCTGTAAATTGTGGTTATTTTAAGACCTTTGCTTATGGGCACCGAATTATTTGCTTTGCCTCTGAAGAAAGCTCTTCACCTGTGTGAGACGCAGGCTTCATTGTGTGAGGACTGATCACTTGATGGTGGAGAGCAAATAAGCCCTAAGCCACTGGTCTTGTTGCCAAGCAGAGGACAAGTGTTGTGGTTTGGGTCTCGTGCCTCCACCCCCTTGCCTGATCAGCCCTATAACTTTCAGGCTGGACACCCCTCCAACCAGGCCAAAACCACCTGGCTCTGTGCTCCGCAGGGTCCCCGCAGAGACGACATGGGTGAGTGTGGGGTGGGATGGGGTGGAGTGGGATGGGATGAGATGGGATGGGATGGGATGGGATGGGATGGGATGGCGCCTCTGCATGTGGCTGTGGGTCACAGAGTACCCCAGCACTTTGTCTGCTGCAGGGTCCCTCCTCCCCACACCCTGAACATCCCAGTGCCGAGTCCACCACCTTGTCTGAGCCCGCTGTGCCTTGGGTTGGGAACTGGGGCAGGAGCCTGCATGCTCTGCTATTTCAAGGCTGTATCAGTGTAGCTCTGGAGTGCCAGAAAGCCCATTTTACAAGCAATTTTCAGTTCTCTGAGGAAAGTGTGAAGTATTCTAGACTAGAAAATGGATGCTCCACTCTTTAGGAATAATGGTAAATTTTCTGTTATTTTACTTAAGTTTAATATTGCAAAAAGTGTGCTGGTTTCCCCTGCTGCTCTGAACAAGAACAGACCAGAGCAGCTGGCCACATATGGAAATTTTAAAGTAGCCACATAACTGACATAACCACACAAAAGGCATAATTTTCCCCAGCCAGGCTGCAATTCCTGAAGGTCTGTGCTGCCCCTCTCTGTCTGCTGCTTGCACACACACAGCCCTGCCTGGGGCTTGTTCCCACCCAGACACCCGGGGTCTTACTGCCCACAGCCCCAGGGCAGTCCCAGCTCAGACAAGGTGAGTGTGTCATGGGAGTGTGATGGGAGCTGGCAAGAAAGGGGATTCCTCCCTCCATGCTCACCCTGCTTGTTATCTCCAGCCTCCAGTCTTGGGTTTTACGGGGATTTCTGATTACAGGACAGGCACTGTGGGTTTGGACAAGGTTTTGGCACTTTTTCTGTCTCAAAAACCACCTCAGCAGTGCCACCACTAGTGACTCCTGGTAATGAGTAGGGTGTCTCTCATAAATGAGCTGATCTACATGGGGCTCGTGACTCCAAGAGGGAGCTCTACACAGGAAGAGTTTTATTTTCCTATTTTACTCGGCAAGTAAAGGAATCCAATGTGATTCATGGCTCTCTAATGGAAGAGTTATGATCTCTTTCTTCTTTTTCCAATCTCTTCCCATTTCAGCTACCCAGTGCCTTTGTCTTCTGCTTCTTACCTGCCTGCTGGCCCTGGCAGCATCTTTTCCTGACCTTGACATAAGAAACTTGTACCTCCTCAATGGCACGATGGACGACATTATGAATGCTCCT